TCCCGGTCTCCCACCGATTTTGGATGCGGACAATTAGAGGCTCCAGATTCATGACCGTACCAGCGGCAGTCTGTACACCACATGGTATCCTGTGTGACCACGTCCAGTTTCACCCAGCCGTGCGGTGTGCGGACTTTGAGAAAATGAGAAACTCGAGATCGGGCGGATGGGTCCAGATCATAACGGCGGTTAAGCAATCGAGGTGATGCTTTATTCTGTTCTGGAGGGTATGTCTTGATCACACGACCAAACACCCTCTGAATTGCTGCTTTTAAAAAGGGCATAGCAAGGTAGGGGACTCGCCACACACGAATCCAATATCTGCGGGGCTGTTCTTGCTGGCGTGCCCTTGCCTGTTCGGCCGGGGTCTGCCAAGCTTTGTGTAGCACTTTACAAGGCTTCCCATCCACCGAAGCAGAAGTCTCCATCTGGAGGACATACACCATCCAATCACGCAGCAACTGATGAGATGCCAAATACGAAATCATATTAGCGCCTTCCAGTCGCACACGGCCTTTCTTCCCCTGAACTGACGTGAGATCCCAACCCGACTCAACAGTTCACAATGTTCACATCCATTCCTCTTTCTGAGCAAAGGACGCATCGGCAGCCAGCTCCTGAAATACCACCATGACACAGTGATGGCGGAGATAGTCAATCGTAGCATCTGCCGCCGGGGGAAGCACATCAATCGACGACTGTGTCCTCATTAGTGGAGCCTCCAATTTAGAGGGTGGGTCGCTGGGGACTCCATGGACTGCGTTTTTGTGAGCCAGGCTTAGAGGTGATTCCAGGTTGCTGTCTTTAGGAACTGTGCTTTTTTCGTTTTCTTTCTTAGTTTTGTTACTGTTTGGACTGTGTTTTTGTGAGCCGGGCTTAGAGGTGAGTCTAGGTTGCTGTCTTTAGGAACTGTGCTGTTTGCACAAAAGTGTTTTTTCTAACAACTTTTCTAAGTGCCAGGGATTGGTCGCAAACTGACCTTGTAACTTCTTCAAGGAACGTCCGAGGTTTGGTTTCTTGGAATGTCCAAGGTTTGGTTTCTTGGAACGTCCAAAAAGATCCCTTATTAAACCACCAGTACTTGTCCCAGCTATCGAAGCCGAGCCTCCCAGCACCCTGCGCGCCAAGTCCTACCGAACCGCCGTTGCTCTTTTTTGTTTTCTTTTTGGCTGTGGCCTCCAGCCAATGCGGTCTGGTAGGCCAAAGCCCGAACGCTGCGGCGCGTTAACGGGGAAGCGCCGCGGCCGATAGCTGGGCCAAGTACTGGTGGTTTAAAACCCTTGCCCGGAATAAGGGCCTGCAGATTGTGTTGTTGCAAGAAACTAAGCTTCATGACGGAGTTAGCAAGAAACTAAGCTTGATAACAGAGTAATCATTGTACTTTTGTGCTGTGTTCATTGCAAATTTCACTTGTGCTACTTTTGTGGTTGTGATTGCATTTGACACACACTTTCAGGTCACCTCCGGAACTTGGCACTGGTCGTATTTGCGTTCTTTTTTTCCTTTTTTTTCCCCCATCAGGGCGACGGCCTTAAACCACCAGTACTTGGCCCAGCTATCAGCCACGGGCGATTCCCCTTAACGTGCCGGTAGTTGTGGGCTTCGGGGCACCGAACCGCAATGGCTGGAAGCACCAGCCAAACTCGAAACGAAACGGTGACCTGACGGCTCGGCAAAACTTGGCGCGCAGGGGGTATCCCGGCTTGGCATCAATAGCTGGACCAAGTACTGGTGGTTTAAGATGTGATCACTGAATTGACCGGCCGGGTCCAGCCCCATGCAGGAATTATTTTATTGTGTTTGGATGACCCCCCCCCCCCTGCCGGTCAGGGCTCAAATTTGGAGGTACCCATTTTTATTATTATTCTTCTTATTATTATTTTAACGGCAAGCACTCAAGTAACATCAACACTAAAACAAAAGGCAAAAAAGAAGTAAAAACAAGGCTCTACTCATTGCCAAGAAACGGTCCAGAGGTATCTGACTAGTAGATGTACCCACAACTTCCAGAAATCATCCCTCTTTCCAGCAAATCTCTCCAGAACTTTCAGAAAAAAAAAAAAGCTAGCTATCCAAAAAACCTTGGCCCGAAATTTGCGCCGGGCGTGCGGGACTTTGACCGGAATATGACCCCTTTCAGTCGTAGTATTTCGGTCAAGTCTATGGAAATACCCGGCTACTGCCGCGACCTCCTGTTTTCGACTCGTCCAAGACCTGAAATCCTGCCCGGTCCTGATGACAAGGGGGTCTCTTCTCCCAAAAGGTAGCCTCTTTTT